CACCATCCACATCTTCATCACCATCGTCACCACCATCATCATCACCATCATCAACGTCATCTCCGTCATCTCCATCAGCTATTTAACAAAAAAAAAAAAAATCAAATTTTCATAAGATTTTTTACACAGTATATCGGACAGCTATTTATTAATAGGCCAGCAGTGAAATAATCTGAAATTTCTAGATAATTAATCACACATAGTTAATTTGCAACGCCCTCTCAGCTGACTAAATACGTGATATGATCGCAATATAGATGAATATTGTGAATAATAAACTTGTAATATGCAAATATCGACTTTGCAGATATATAACATATGGCTTCTATCTCGTCCTTTTCTCTTTGTATTTTATTTATCCTCTCATTTGATTTTCATGTTTGTATAAAAAATATAAATCATTATAGAGCGTTAATCTTCTGGTTTCAACACCCCATTATAAATCCTCTTGTATGTTGTGTGTGTGTATGCTTGTGTGTGTGTGTGTGTGTGTGTGTGTGTGTGTGTGTGTGTGTGTGTGTGTGTTCATACTGTTAATTCCACTTGAATGTAAATACAGGAAAACATTAATAAAAAAATACCATTCATGAAAAAAATGTATGTATGTGTGTATGTCTGTATGTGTGCGTGTGTGTATGTGTGTGTGTGTTTGCATATATAAACATAGATAAACTCCATAAACTGAATACATGTAAAGTAATTGTCAGCACCAAAGCGCCCAGAACTCTGAATTAGGAGGCGACCTACCTTCAGGCACGCAGCACAGGCAGCCCTCCAAGCACCTGCCTTCAAGCACGGTGTCTCCCTCGCGGCAAGTCCTCAGGCACTCTCCTCCGGCCTTTTGACAGCGCCTCCTCGGGTTGCATGCTGAAGGGAAATCATGCAGTTTGATGCATCTTACCGATTGGACTGATGATCTGTTTTATGATTCGATGATCCCTTTCTGTTGAACTTCTACTAAATAGTTTGGTATTTAATTGATACATGTTCTACTCCTTACGTTTAATGCAGATTAAGTGTTCCAGTTTATCATGATCATTTTTTTTTTTAGAAATTCTTTTATTTTTTTCATGAAACTCTCCACCACCACTGTATCTGCTTCATCACTATGAATAATTGTATCACCATCAGTGCTTCTTACTTCACTATCCATAGACATCCCTTTTAATACCTTTATCACCATCCACATCTTCATCACCATCGTCATCACCATCATCATCACCATCATCAACGTCATCTCCGTCATCTCCATCACCTATTTAACACACACAAAAAAATCAAATTTTCATAAGATTTTTTACACAGTATATCGGACAGCTATTTATTAATAGGCCAGCAGTGAAATAATCTGAAATTTCTAGATAATTAATCACACATAGTTAATTTGCAACGCCCTCTCAGCTGACTAAATACGTGATATGATCGCAATATAGATGAATATTGTGAATAATAAACTTGTAATATGCAAATATCGACTTTGCAGATATATAACATATGGCTTCTATCTCGTCCTTTTCTCTTTGTATTTTATTTATCCTCTCATTTGATTTTCATGTTTGTATAAAAAATATAAATCATTATAGAGCGTTAATCTTCTGGTTTCAACACCCCATTATAAATCCTCTTGTATGTTGTGTGTGTGTATGCTTGTGTGTGTGTGTGTGTGTGTGTGTGTGTGTGTGTGTGTGTGTGTGTGTGTGTGTGTGTGTTCATACTGTTAATTCCACTTGAATGTAAATACAGTAAAACATTAATGAAAAAATACCATTCATGAAAAAAATGTATGTATGTGTGTGTGTATGTACGTGTGCGTGTGTGTGTGTGTGTTTGCATATATAAACATAGATAAACTCCATAAACTGAATACATGAAAAAATTGCCTTCACCAAAGCGCCCAGAACCGTGAATTAGGAAGCGACCCACCTTCAGGCACGCAGCACAGGCAGCCCTCCAAGCACCTGCCTTCAAGCACGGTGTCTCCCTCGCGGCAAGTCCTCAGGCACTCTCCTCCGGCCTTTTGACAGCGTCTCCTCGGGTTGCATGCTGAAGGCAAATCATGCAGTTTGATGCATCTTACTGATTGGACTGGTAATCTGTTATTTAAGATTCGATGATCCCTTTCTGTTGAACTTCTGCCAAACAGTTTTGTAGTTGATACATGTTCTACTCCTTACGTTTAATGCAGATTAAGTGTTCTTAAAAGCGTGTATTTCTTACTTTCCATCTTTCTTTTTTTTTAATTTCTTTATTTCTTTTTTCATGAAACTCCACTCCACCACCACACTATAAATAATTGTATCACCATCAGTATTTCTTACTTTACTATCCATAGACATCCCTAGTAATACCTTTATCACCATCCACATCTTCATCACCATTGTCATCACCATCGTCATCACCATCATCCTCACCACCATCAACGTCATCTCCGTCATCTCCATCTTCAATTTAACAGAAAAAAATCAAAATTTCATAAGATTTTTTGCACAATATATCGGAC